AAGAAAACAGAGGCTGCCCTGCTCCTGCCTGGCCCCTAGGACTTCTCTTTTACAAGACTTTATTTATCAAAACGATATTAACCCAGAAGCCTGTTTCCATCAGAGTCTCGATTCCAGGGACATTTCCAGATAAGCCTTATCGCATTGCTGGTGCATTAGCCTGGCTGGTCCGGGGCCTGCCAATCACGGCTGCCCCTCCTGCCCTGCCTGTGGCAGGATGCCTGCCCATGACTTCATTCTGGATGGCAGGCAGTGGGGGAGCAGGGCATGGGGCAGCCACGGACACCTGGGTCCAAAGCAGGGCTCCAGAGGGCACCTTGTCCTAAGGGCACACTCAAGGCACGACCGTCAGGGGGATCTCCGGGGTCATCCAGAACTTAGGTTCAAACCCCAGTTCCACCCGAGGCAAGGGCTGGGCCAGCGGCGTCCAGTCCCCCCACCCCCACCTGTAAAATGGAGCGACACCTCCCAGGCACCCCTACAAGCAGATTCAGTGAGTTTGTGTGTACGGCGGTGGCTGTGGTGGGCTTAGCACAGCATAGCCAGGGGAGGGGGACAGCCCTCAGAAGGCTGGGCGGGCCCCTCCTGCCCACAGCCCCACTCGCTTCCCCTCAGAGGCTGAGCCCTGGCCGCCCCTGGCTCACTGGCGCTCAGGCTTCAGTGGGCCCCAGGCCTGATGGAGGCCCATCTGCACACTCTGGGCGGCCTCGCCCTGCGGCACAGCACAGCTGTCTCTTCCCCTCTCACCTTGTGTCCTCCACCTGAGCTCCCGCCCTCTCTGGGCTTGGAGGGGTGCTGTCTTCAGGGGAGGTGTGAGGTGGGGAGGAAGGGATGGGTGAGTATGGGGACCCGCACAGAGATCCTGGAAACATGGCAGTGCTGGGTCTGGGGCTGCCTGCACCACCCCTAAGGGGTTTGCAGGCCCCTCAGCTCTCAGTTGGGAGACTGTGTCTGCTGGCCCCACTCCCGGGGCTGTGGGTAATATGATGGCCAGCACTGTGCCCAGGTGACTAAACAACCACACTGAACAGCTGCCTTTTTAATCCTCACCTGAGGCTATTTTTTTCCATTGATTTCTAGAGTGGAAGGGAGTGAGGAGGAGAGAGGGAGAGAGAAACATCAATGTGAGAGAGACACATCGATTGCCTCCTGCACACGCCCCTTGCCGGCTGGGAACCTGCATTCAAGGTATGAAGTATGTACCCTTGACCAGGAATGGACCCCGAGACCCTTTGGTCCTCGGGCCGACTCTCTAACCACTGAGCAGAACAGCTGCTTTTATTCTTACTTTGTACATGGGGACACACAGGCACAGAGGTTTGGGGCTGGCCCAAGGTCACAGGGCTAGAGGGGCCAGGGCTAACCCAGGCAGTGGCTCGAATTCACCTTGTCGGCTCATATCCCCACCCCCATGGATCTGTCCCAGAACTAGTTCCTGCTTACTAAGCACCCTTCCACTGGGAGGGGTGGCTCCACTGGGTCACATGACCCCTCACTTATAAAGAGGGACAGTGACGTGGCCAAGGTCATATAACCTGTGCAGGACAGGGACCTTCAGCTGAGCTCAAGCTACTCTTTGTCCTAACTTGCAGGGGTCCCTAGAGGGAGCCTGGATGGAGGGCTGGGCCTCACACCCTTGGTCAGGGAGGACTTGGCCTGACTGGGCGGGGCACCTAGAGGCTCTGGCCTGAGCCCCTCCCACGCTGAGAATGATGGTGGATGGAGGAAAGTCCTGAGGGACCCCAGCTCCGATCATTTGTGTTCACTCCGAAGGGCTGCATGGCCATGGGGAGGGCCAGCCCAGGACCTGGTCTGTGGTGTGGGGGTGGAGGTTACACATGGAGGACCAGAGCCTGGCCTGCAGCGGGGGAGGAGGAGAGGGCCACACAACAGGACCCTGACGTTATTGGAGGCATCCCCTTATAGGTGGCAGCAACGAGCTCCCAGGAGCTGGAGGTCGAATCCCTGGGGAGCTTCACAGCAGCAGGAGCTGTGGTCAGGGCACTGCTTCGCTCCCCCAAACTCCTCCGGGTTCATTTCCAGCGCAGGGGGAAGCGGGGCCGGACCTGGACACTCCCTGCCCACCCCGCCCTCCACTGTTGCTGCCCCCTGAGGTCGGGGTCCCTCTGAGGGTCAGCGAGGGGCGCAGGACTGCCACCTTCACCTGCACCCTCTCGAGGGGCCCTGCCCTGCCGCTGGCGTGGGATGAGGGCTGCCTGCCGCCACCGCGCCCAGGACAGTGTGTTCTGCAGCACCACCCCTTCCTCTCTGCCAGAGCTCCAGGGCTTACTACCGCCAGGCCGTTTGATCGGAACCTGTCCCTGTTCGTATAGTTAATGTCATTTTTGTAAATGAAAGCATAATGCACTGATTACCGGGATAAAAGGGTGGCCTCTGCGTCTGTCTGGAGGCCAAATAAAGGAACGCTGGAACATCTGTTCATCCCACGGACGTCTCTAAAAGCTTCGATTCCCCTCAGCCAGGTCGCCATGCCCCCTTTGCCGAGTGTCAGCAGCTTGGCCTCCAGGTGGGGTGGCCTGTGGTGCAGGGACAGGAGCAGGGCAAGGCTTACACCCTGGCCTGCAGCATGCTTCTGTGCAGGGCTCTTACCAGCCCTCACTCCACACTCGGGGGAGAGGGTGGGAACTCCTGGAGTGGGGATGAATGAGCAACCCTCCAGCCAATGCCCTGGCCCGGTGCCCCATGCTCCCTGACATCCCTTGAATGTCCTTCCTGGCCTTGGCTGCTCAGAGAACCCCCATGTCCCCTGAAGGCCCAGGAGATTCTGGGGCCACTCAGTCTTGTCTAGGGGCCCAGCACCCTGTGGATTTCTCAGCCCACTGGGCTCTGAGCTGGGTCCCTCCGCAGGAGCCCTGGTGGTTCCCTGAAATTCCTGGGTGGTTGGTGGTGGGGGAACCCTCAGATAAAAACACAGAGAGATGAGCAGTGAGGGGCCACCACGAGACATTTATTTGCAGCTGGCAAGTACTCAGCTGCCTGATGTCTGGGTCCCTCTCCAGCTGAGGCCCCTTTCTCCTTGGGTGCTGTCCTCTAGCAGGAGGGTGCAGGGTGGGGCACTGCCGCCTGCTGAACGCCAGGACTGGGGGCCTGCTGCCTGTGGAGCTGTGGGGAGACTGCAGGAGGTCGAGGCATGTCTGGTTGGGCATTTGGCCCAGGCAAGGTGGCCCGGGGTCACTCAGGGAGACTGGACCATATGCTTGTGGGTGTCGAAGACATAACGCTTGAAAGACAGGCTGAGTGTCACGTGCTGCGCAGGCTCCTGCCGCTCCGCACTCTCCTCCTGCTTGGCCATCTCCCCTTTGCTGGCCCGACTCCGCTTCTTGAGTGCGGGTGTCAGGATCTTCTTAGACTCCGGGCCGAGGCCACCTGCAAGGCACAGAGGGAAAGTCTGCCATCTGCCACTCATCAGCTGGCCCACTCGCCACCCGGATGGGCACCTGGACTGGCCCACCCTCACACTCCCTTAGGCTGAGCCAGGACCCCAAGGTCCCTCTGCTTCCTTCCCCAGCCAACGGACCCAAGGCCTGCAGTCTCCTTTGCCCCCTAAATCCTTGCATGCCAGCCCCTCCCCTGTGCTAGTCCATGCCCCAGGTCCATCCAGCTTGGAGCTCAGCAGGGCTCCCAACCTTGGTCTCTGGGTCTCTTGCCCATCCACCTGCCCTGCACTCCACCCTCCATGGGGATCAACCCCATGCCCAGTGGCCATGTTCTTCCTCTGCACTGAAGGGTTCTGTTACTTTCCAACACACTCATGCTGAGACTCGCACCCCGACACCGAGGCCCACTGGCGTAGGTGTTCTTCACTCGCCCTTCTGTGGCCTGGGAGGCTGGCTTCCCTAGGACATCGTGGGCCCCTGTGCTCTCTGGTTTAGCGTATGGCGCCCTAGCATATCAGAGGGCGGAGGAGAGAGCAGCTGGCATGTGGACCCCCCTCTTTTGGGCAGAACTTTTGTTGGAAGATGCTGTCTCCGTGCCCTGCGGCCTCCTCACTCTCCATATCTTACCAGCTCCTTTACCCGCCTGCACCTCAGCACAGACCCTCCGCTCCCTCCGGCCAGGCTACTGAGCAGACAGCCATTTCCTGCTGACACCTGACTGATGCCCGCCCGACTCCCCCAGCCCCACCACCACTATTGTGGTGCTTTCCCTACAGCTCGAGGAACACAGGGCTGCTCCTGGGCTCCGGTCCCACTTGGGCCTCTGCACAGACTGTCCCTTCCTGCCGCAATCACCCTGAAACACCAAGCTGCAGTACTCTTTTTTGGGTGTTTGTCTTTTTAAAAAATCCTCACTCATTTTTCCCATTGATTTTTTTTTTTTTGAGAGAGAGTGTAAGGGAGGAGAAAGGGAGAGAGAGTGAGAGACACACACAGAGAAAGAAACATAGATGTGAGAGAGACACATCAATTGGTTGCCTCCCACACATGCCTCAACAGGAGGCAGGGATTAAACCTACAACCCAAGTCCCTGTCCTTGACCGGGAATCAAACCCATGACCCTCCAGTGTGCAGGCCGACGCTTCAACCATTGAGCATGCTTGGCAGGGCTCAGGGGCTTGTCTTTACGAGGCATCTGCTTGGTGGCAGCACCATGCAGCCTCCTTGTGGGCTGCCGGCAGGGCGAGACCATCTCCTGGCCCTGAGCACAGGGGCCAGGCCCCATCTCAGCTCGACATCAGGGGAGTGCCCTGGAACCACCACTCACCCTCTGTGAGCACCACAACCCTACTAGGACGTCCTGGTGGGAGCAAGCTGGCAGGGCTGTGGCAAGGCTGAGCTGAGGGGGCACCAGGAGATGGGCATGAGGCAGGGAGGCCCAGCAGGTGGCAGTGCCTGGGACTTCTGCTGGGGGAGCTGGGTCTGAAGCCTTCATAACCTGGTGAGCGCAAGCCCACGACCTGCTTCCCAAATGAGGGATCCTGATAGGCCTCCGCATCCCCCAGAGAGGACACCCCCTTCTGATTTGGTCGCAGGGGCTGCATCAACAGGTGCTGTTAGAGGCTGGGTGCCCAGAGCTGGCAGACAGTTGGGGATAAGCACAAGGCTGAGGGCTCCCCTCCCTGCACGCCCTGCTCTGTCTGCTGGCCTGGTCTTGCTGGGTTAGCTCCACAGAGAAGCCAGCCGTGGAGCTCAGGCATCAAGCTTCAGTGCTGAGAGGACCCGGCCTGCATCTCGACCAGGGAGGGAGGGCTGGCGGCAGGGGCAGGCAGGCTAGCTCTTGCTTCAACCAGGAACTCCATGCTGTCAGCAACCCTTTCAATCTGCAGATGGGAAAGCGGAGCCTCAAAAGGGCAGTGACGTACTCAAGGCCCCACTGTGAGCCGAGAAGAGCCAGGATTTGATCCCTGGACCAGCATCCAATGGCAAATGCAGGCCACTGCCCGCTAGCCCATCACTCCAGGAGGAGTCCACCGTAAGCAGACTCCTAAAAATGGTTCTGTGAGAACATCTTCTACCGGCCCTGCAGCTCTGACATTTAAAAAGGTGCCCAGGAGACTGGTTCAAGGGATACCTATGGAGTCAGTAAAGAACAGCCCTACCCACTGGCAGGAGGGACTCGGCCTTCCTCTTCACAGGAGACTGCCAGCCATTGCGCAGCCTGCCTCACCCGGGAAGGCCGGCTGGGCACACAGCTGATGTTAATGGGGCTCCAGGACGCGACAGGCCTTGGGGGCCTGTACAGAGGCAAGGTTCCCTCCTGCCGGGCGGCAAGGTATCTAATCACAGGCTCCACGCCCGGCTGATCTGCGCACCTCTGAGAATGGCCCCGGGCCAGCCCCTATGAGCAAATGCCAGGCCTGCAGGTATCTGGCCTTCCTTCTGCAAACAGAGAAGGTGGCCGGCACCAGACGCTGACAAATGACATGGGCGGCCTGTCTCCCTCTGGTGCCAGGAGGTCTGATGGCTGAAGAGGAAGGGGGCTCCCCGGTGTCTGCGTCTGGCTGGGAGACAGGCGTGGCCCAACTGGCGGCCCACCTTGCCTGAGATGGCTCTCGTTACATACAGCGCATACCTCCCCTGCCCAAAGAAGGCAGAGCCAGAAAATCTATCTGGCACTGGGAGAGACGTGGCCATTTAACTGCTCTTCTAAGATGGCAAGGCCTGTTTACCACTTATCCATTCCAGGGTGGCCTGGACACAATGCCCAAGAAGCCTGACCCACACAGACCTGTCCGCTGGGGCTACTGGGCTGTTTGGATTCATGGCAAATGTCACTGGGAACTGCTTTGTTCACAGTGGCCTTTTCCCCTTAACCAATGGCAGATGGAAGGAAGTAAAGGGCAGGCCAGCGTGTTGGGTGCTGGAGCTCATGGGCACTCAGTCCTGAGCCATGCCCAGCTTCGCCCACCCTGACCCCGCCTTTCACTTGAAAGCACTTCCGGATGCTCCAGGGCTGGGAAACACTGGTGGTGAACATGCAGACCAGGACCCCAACCCCACGAAGTTCACTAATCTGAGAAGGGCAGATAGTAATCAAGCCAGCAAGACAGTCCAGAGAGCCACAGACAATCAAGGCAACAAAACCACTGTGTCCCTGGGAGCAGAGGGCAGCCAGGTGCCATGTGCCGAGGGCAGACTTCCCTGAGGAAGAATGCTGGAACTGGGCCAGCCACACGGAGATCTTGGGCAAGGGTCTGAGTGCCGAGGGCTCGGTGGGAATGAGTGTGCCACTCGAGGGTGGATGAAGGTGTGTGGCCCACAGCATACCACATCCACAAGGCGCCTCGTGTGCCCCGCTCTGCAGGAGCCCCAAACAGAGAGGGTTCTGGCCAATTTGGGGGTCAGAGTGGTGAGGGTGGTGGCTGAGTGCCATCTGCCCGTCTGCCCAGTGGTCCCTAAGTGTTTCCTGTAGGCCTGGGGACACAGAGGCAGGTAGGGCTGTCCCGTTCTCATGGAACTGCCATCCTCTTTCAGGGACCTCCCACTGGGAGGTCATGTGGGCTGAGCAGCAGTGTGTGGCCCCTCCTGGGATGGCTCCTGGCCTCTGGCTTCTGTGCCCGCCTCTTCCCATGTGACTTGGCCCATACTGCATCTTAAACTTCCCCCATCGCCCCCCATGCTCCAACACACCAGGCACACTCCCAACCTGGGCCTGTACATTAGAAGATTCCTCCTCAGGAGCTCCAATGGCTCTCAGGTTCACCTTCTTGGAATCACCGAGCACATGTTACCTCCTGGTGAGGCCTTCCCCGTCACCATCACTGTCACCTCCCTGCTGCCCTAACCACCCTCCCCGCTCTATTTCCCAAGCTATTATCACCTTCAAACATATGCTATTATTTCCTTGTTTGATGTTGGTCGTCTGCCTCTGCTAAAATATAAATCCTACCTGGCAGGGACTGTTGTCTCTCCATTCACGCTATAAGCCCAGTGCCTAGAACAATCACCTGTAGCAGAGGCTCCAAGAATACTGCTGAATGAATCAGTCCTGGACGAGGCCCACTGGGCATGAACTAGCTGCTATGCTCCCCAGATGGTCACAGCAAGGACCCAGCAACCCACTTCTAGGAGTCCAGGTCTATCAAGCAACCTGAGATTTGTGTCACCACACATTGGGGCACTTGATCTTCACAACGCAGTGTGGAAGAAACAGGCCCAGAACAGTAACTGGCCCACGTCCCTCAGCTCTGGAGAGACGGGGATGGACTGACTCAGCGCGGCACCTGACCCAGGTCTGTGTGCGCACCAGGGAGAGCATGCCCACCAGGGAGACTAAGAGGAGGGCCGTCAGGACAGGACCAGCATGCATCTGCTGTGGCAAGGAATTCTGGGAGATGAAAAGTGGTACCTGAGAAGAGTTTAAAGTTACACAAATACTGATGCTATAATGTTAATTTAAAAAGTGCAGGAATAAAAAATTTTGCAAGAGTTCTGCTACAGCTCTGGATGCAGAAAGAAGAGACTAGAAGGCCATCTTGCAGTGACAAGCAATCCTTTCTTTTTCTTTCTACTTTTCTCTATTTCCCAAGGTTTCTATCATGACCCTGGGTCCTCACAGGGCCACCTACTACAGGGTTCCTAGCATGTCCTCCCACACACGTCTGAGCCCAGAGAAGGCAGTGCCCACCCAGTACAGTCTGGCTGCTGAGTCCATGGGCACTTGGGGAGGCAGCGAGATGGGGAGGAGGCCCCCTAGGGATGGGAGGGAGGGCAGGTGGTGAAGGCTCTCAGAGTTGCGTGGGCCAGGAAGCCCACTGCCATCTCTAGGCCATGGTATGGTCCCTGCAGCTCTCGGCTCTGCTCAGTGAAAGATGGGGCCCGAGCAGAACCCCGGGGGCAGGTGATGCTCCTGGACACTTCCTGGCGTGAGAAGTGTGTGTTTCTGACATTGTTGCTGCATCAAGATCAGTAACTGAGAGGCATAGG